CAAGACCCATTGGGTGGGCTTTTTGGCCAAATAAGATTTTGAGAGCGCTCTGAAGTGGTCTCCTCACAAGGTAAGGACAGCAAAATCCCCACTGGTAGAACTTAACAGAATCTGGACAGGATTCTTCCTTCTCCCAACTGCCTCTTTTATTTGGCAGTCAGGGAAGAGATGGCCCAAAAAACATAGGCAGAGCTACTGGAAGTACTTGAATAAGGATTTATGGATTCCTGAAGCTGAGGTGTGAAAAGGAAAATTTGACTGAGTTTTATCCCTAACTCCCTACTGATCTTTTAAGCTCCTTTATTCTGAGGCTCTCAGAGGTGCTCGGTGTTACTGAAGTCAAATTTCTCTTTGCTCTGCTTTTGCTCCTTATCCTGTAATATGGCAAAAAATGGCTTTTGCTGGGTTCTTTTGACTCTTTTGGATCTCAGAGGTCATGGCTGCTGCAGACTCCAGGAAGAACCTGTGTCTATGGGTCCCTCAGCCCAGAAAATAAAGCTGCAGTGGCCAGCTGCAAGTCATTGATGAGCTCTTGGCTGCTCAGCAGAAACCACTGTGACTTGTTAAATGTACTGAAGGTTGTGAAATAAACAGGTTTATTCTTGTCTCACTTCAAGAACCCCTGCTTGAGAATATCAAATTATCTAATCCAAGCTAAGCCAGAAGCCCAGGAATGTTTCTAGAAGCATCTTTGATTTAAAAAACTAGATGTCATTCTGTAAGCTTTCTCATGTGTGTGTTTTCTATTTTTTAATATTCCCTCCCCATAAATCAAGTCATTCCACTTCTATAAGTAAATTTCCCTCTGACATTGAAACTGAGGAACAAGTGAAAACATCATTTTTGCTGATTCTCTCCACTCCTGTTGTCTGTGGTTCAAGTCTTGGCTATGTATTGAAGACTGTATTATTATTTTTTAATTGAAACTATTTCTTCCATAATAGAGAGGATTGTTGTTCTGTTACTTGAAACAACAGAAACATCTTGGTTATAAAAGCTCAAGGTTAGAAATTCTAAGTGTTTGATACTGTTTAATGAGTCTATCTACTAAAAATAGGCTTTGTAAAGAAGGGTAGTAACTCATTCTGTAATACTCCTAGTCAACAGCAAAAGCCATAAAGTTTGGGTTTTTTTTTTACTGAAATGATTAATAGCTGCATATGTAAAGTTCTGCACACTTTTGTAATGCTCAGCAGAATCTAAAATTTTGAGAGAATATCTTGTGTTCCTGCTTGTGAAAATAGCTGTTCCTTTAATCTGTTTTGTTTGCTGCCTTGCCAGCCAAGCTAAAAAAGTGAGCAGCACCATCAAGTTATGCTAATGTTGTGAGGCATTTTCATCCTTCAGTGTCCCAGAGGGCTGATTCCTTGTGTGCCATCCTCCCTGCATGAAGTGAGTGTGTGCATGTGTGAGGAATGCAGGATTGGGCACAAATCCTGTACCCTTTGAAGACACTCTGTCCAAAACAAACACTCAGTTCCCAGTCAGTGTAATTTAGTTGATAAATATCTTAACAGCTTTCTGGGGAGGAACCTCTGCTTGTTTTCTGCAATGTACCAAAAGCATTTTTAGTGTGATCCTGAAGTCCTTGGACATGAGGGCCTGTAGTGCTGCTTGTGCTTTGATGGTGCCAAACCATGCAGATGCTTTATTGTTTGCTTCCCCCAAAATGTGGTGTTCTAGACTGCTCAGAGACTGGGCCTTTTGTTTAATATTTCATGGGGATTAAAGAGAAGGACAACAGATAAAACCACTCTCCATGAAATGAAAATGAACATTCTAATATTTATTGTTGTCAAAGACCAGGAGACTTCATTGTTCCTGCTTGGCATTACTGATAGTTTTCCCTGTTGTATGTCCATGTGTAAATCCTTGGGCATTTTCTATTGGTATCTTCGTCCTGATCACATGTTCTCAAGATAGAAACTCAAATCCAGAAGGAAATGTTTTACTGAGTGTATGAAGTAGAATACAGATTGCAGAGGCTGTGCAGCCCTGGTGTGAAGAGAAGAAGCAGCAACATCACACCATTTGTTTAGCTCTCATGTGAAGCTGCTGTCTTCAGACAAACTCAAGTATTGAACAAATGTATGGATGTGATTTTTAAAAATAGTTTATATAGGTAGCATATCTGCATGCATAATACACATACAAATGCAAAATTGCTTGGTTAAGGCTCCTAATTTAAGAAAACAGTGCCATCTGTTTTGACCCTGATTTGAAGGAGAGTTGAGGAGGTGCTTTGGTGCTTTGCTGATTTGGAGAAAGCCACATAGAATGTGTTGGCCAGTGAAAGATGTACACAGAATGGTGTCCTGCTTCCACAGTCAGCTGTCCTTACAGTAAGGCCAGTGGGGAACAGTTGGATTTGGAAAGAAAAGGATCTCCTGAAATGATGTGGTTTGTGTGCCATGAGGAGCTCTCTAATACCAGTGGGGTTGGGATGTCTCTCTGTGCTATTGAATGAGTTGGGTGCCTTTGGTGAAGTCACAGAAATTGCTACATATTTTAATAACTAGCTAACTAAATAATCCAAGTGGGAAAAAAAAGGATTTTTGAATTTTACAGTGCAAGATAATTTTTTCTCAAGTCACATGTTGAAATCTTTATTTGAAGATGTGAAAGAATTCATTAAATCCACCTTTATAACAATGTGCCTTCGTGGTGGTGACACATGCTCTGACATTAGTGGTCTGCAGTGAAACCAAAAGGAATTCCTTGGAGCAGGGCAGGGGAAATGGCTTTTTTCCCTTCCTCAAGAATCAGATGGAAACATGTGACCCAACAATGCTATTGGTGGCAGAGTGGCTGCTGTTTGTGGGGGCAAGGATGACAGATTTGTTTGGAAGAAAGTTTGGGATCTGTGTGTATTAAATCTGTCTGGAGATGGGAGAGGAGGCAGGACACGGACTGAGTCCAGCTCTGCCCTTGACTTGTCCCATACAGCCCCCTTTGAATTCAGGAGGAATTATCTCCAAACAAAAATAAGGGTGGATGTGCATGAGTGAGTGAGAATGCAATCACCTGATGTGGGATTCCCATAGTGAGGTGTTGACTCATCTTTTTATGTATGGAAAGCTATTTTGCAGCCTTAGAAACAGTGCTTTCAGTTGGGGAAGGCATGGAGGCACTTGTATGAAGTGCTTTTCCAAGGAGGGATTTTTTCCATAGTCAAGTCCTGTGCAAACATGAAGTGTCTTTGATTTAGGGAAGGGGGGAGTGAAGTAGTTTCAGGTGCTACTGTCTGTGAATAATATCCTGCACATGGAGCCCCTGTTCTGTTGGTCCTTAGGCAATACTGTGATAAAAAAACAATACAAACACCTGCACTTGGATCCACCTGCTGAGCTCTGTAGCTTTATTCCCTATTCTATAACTTAGGAAAAAGGAGGCAGGGGCTTTTCTGTGCTTTGGCTGCTGTGTTGAAAGGCACAAACAGCAAGAGCTGCCAGAATAGAGACAGTGAATCTGTCCTTGTGTTGGGCTCCTGCATGCACAGACAGGCTGGGGGAGAAAGGAGGGAGAAATCCCTTTCCCTGCCTTGCCTGCTCTCTTGCATTTACTCTTGCTCCTCCTGTAGTGGGGACATAAATTGATTTAATTATGTACATTATATTAATTTCTCATTATTTTACTGAGTTCATGTCCCAGCAGCTTCTAAATTTCAGGCTTAGTGTGCTAATGAAGTTTAATTGTTCCCTACCCAGATAATTTGTATTTATAAATACACTTTGTTTTCTAACTAAAGGAATTCTGGGGCAGGAAAATGCCCAAGTAAATTCAAGGTTTGCTCTTTAACATTGGCAGCTGCTGTGCAAGATGCAGGCTGAAGCTGTAGCTCTCTGTGTTAGCAACAACAAAAAAATTGCCTTTTTTAAAAATTGTGAGACACAATTGTGTTTGTTTTGCACTTTCTAATCTTGAAAACAGCAGCTGGGTAGAACTGGTTGGCTCTCCTCACCTCTGCCTCTGTAAGGACTGGAACCAGTTTAGTTGGGGATAGGTCAGCAGCGTGAAAGTTTTGTTTAAGATCTTTCTCAACCATGTCAGTGTTGTTTCTCTTAACTTGTTTAGCTTTTGTGCTGGGTTTGTGAAGGTAAAACATGGCTTAGCCCTTATGTACAACTGTTCTGGCTTCAATATAGCAAAGCTATAAATAGGCTCCCCTTTGCCTCCCCAGCAGTAGGAAATGACTGCAGCAGGTGTTGTCCTCCACTAGAAATTTGCACATTATTACTACCCAAGTACTTTTTTCTTAAAATCAGCTTTCTTGTTATGTGTTCTTCCTTTAATAAATGCCAACTGACTGGTCAGCAAGTATCTTGTTAAAATCTGAAGTCTTCATTAGGTCAAAAGAAATAAAAACAGAAAGGTATTTTTGTTTTATTTCTGTGCAGTCTCTGTGTAAGGTTTATTTTATATGCAATTTAAAAAGTATTACCAGAAGGCACAGGAGAGCTGCATAAAGCTGGTTGCTGACTGAAATGGTTTTTATTCTTTTAGCTTTGCTGGGCTGGATTTTAGCTCAGGTTTGTAGCAGTTCCTCTGTGATGGGACTGGCTTGGAAGTCTGCAGGCAAGATTTGTGTCCATGCTTGGATTGAGTTCTCCTTGCACTGCAGCATCAAGAAAATAAACAGGGTTTTTGTGCAATGAGGTCATGCTTAGAGTAAATAAGGATCTTGCAGTCTGGTTCATGTGAAATGGGTTTGCTGGTGTCAGTAACAGCTTCCCCTTGATCCAGACCCCATCGTTTTGTTTGGATTGGTGCTTGGTGCCAGCAAAGAGCTGGAGATGTTTGGGCAGGAGAATCAGAGTCCTTGTGTTTGTGCTGCTGAGCCTGTTCTGCTCAGGAGGGTGGAGAGCCCTGGCCTCCTGCCCCTGGTGGGTGCTGCAGAAAGTGAAACCAGGGCAGATGTGCTGTGCAAACAGCAAAAGGGGGGCACACTCCTGTGTTTCAGTTCTGTTCAACACCTCTGCACCCCTTCCTTTCTGCCACAGATGTGAGAGCTGTGTGGAGCTGCTGTTTGTGAGAGGGGCTGGGAACTGCCACGAGTGTGACACCCCCCTGAGGAAGAGCAACTTCAGGGTGCAGCTCTTTGAGGACCCTGCTGTCGACAAGGAAGTGGAAATCCGGAAGAAAGTGCTGAAAATGTGAGTGTCACCATTTAAAATATCAGAAAGTGGATGTGTTTCATGCATCAACATTTAAAAAAATTACTTGTTCAGTAGTACAGAGGAGATTTTTCTTTTTTTTTAAAGTGGCAAACGATAAAAGTTGACTCCATTTATCATGGAGGGATTTCAGAGAATCTGATTTTGTGCAACAATTGAGAGCTGAATTCTCAATTTAGCCTTGAGGGATTCCTGCTTAGTATTAGAAAATGTTGAGTGTTTCTATGTGGCCTTCTTTGGCAAAGACTTGGCTCCAAAATGGAGATGATTAGATATTGAGAGGGTGAACATGGCAGCAGAGCAAGAAACAGGACCTTGATTGTTTTGTTCCCTGGGGACCTGTTCTGAGAGTTGAAGGCCAGTTCCCTTCAAAATCAAAATGGGCAAAAGAGAGTTCACATTGTTTTTTGCTTCACACAGCAATTGTTAGTGGAAGTGGTTCCTTACAAGCCTGGTGTTACCAGTCTGTCATGCAGATTTGAAAGCTCTTGAAATTGAGATAAATGAGGTCTAAGATTGCATCTCACTCCTTGTGGCCAGTAAAGCAGCATTTTATAAAGAAAATATGGGAGCCAGTTGGTGTTTTAATAGAAGAAAATCTGATAAATGTAACAACCCAGAGAGAGCTCTGTGTGCCTAAGTGAACTTACAGGTAAATTATAAGCTTGTCAGCCTTTATCTAAAACTGGGGACAATAGTAAATGAATCATATGATGTTGCTGAGATGTGGGGAAACTGTGCCACTGAATACCAAAATGCTGATGTGGAGAGCAGTGAAAATTTTGATGTTGGATTTTAAAGTCCACTGAAGTTAACAGAAGTCAATCTGTAAGAAGTCAATTAAACATGGAATAAAGTTTAGTTAGAGGAGAAAATGTTGGAAAATTCTTGGCCCACTGTGGTTTGCCAGATTAGTTTTTAGGAGGCAGAAAAAATGCCCCCAGGTTGGAAAATGGCCTCAATTCTTGGGATTTTTATATTCCTGGGTGTCACGGTCTGCAGATCAAGCAGAATCTAGTTTTTATATTTTCTTGGGAAGAAAGTCTCCTGTCTTGACTTTCAAAAGCTGCCCATGTTCTAAGCCAGTTGTCCCTTCATCTTTTTACTTTTTCCAGCTCTGAAGAGGTGAGTATGAGTGCTGGAATGCTCTATTGATATGAAATGAGATAATTGTGTAGCATTTTCAGTTTGCTGCTGACATATGCTTTCTGTTGTTGGCACAAAGCCAAACTCTCTTTTCTGATTGTTGTAGAAAAGCTTTTTTTTTTTTTTCTGTGGGTGTTGCTGTTGTCTCTGCCTTTGTTAAGAGGCTGGCTGGGAGTTACTCTGTCTTGGCCTCTGTGCTCATGTTTACCTGTAACCCTGGAAAAGGAATTGGCAAACAATAGGCAAAGATAGCAGAGATTTCTTCCAGGCTCCTCCTTTCCTTTGGAGCAGGCACTTCTGTCTCCCAGTAAAGATTCTGGTCACTTTGGGAGTCACAAAGCACACAGTAGATAAAAGCAGATCAATGCTTAATCAGCTTGCAGCAAAAGCTTTGTTGAATGGAAATTGCATCTTTCTGTGTTTTATAAATACTTTTCTCTTCTCTCAAAGATACAATAAAAGAGAGGAAGACTTTCCCACTCTAGATGAATATAATGATTTCTTGGAAGAAATAGAAGAAATTGGTAAGTCTTAATGCTTGAATTTTTGATGTGCTGTGCTTGTGAGACCATAGGCTTTTATCTTCTGACTTAGCTGCCTATGAGAATGTTTAAGTTCAGTTTCTGTAATATGATTTATCACAGTATCAGATTTTTATCTAATTACTTTTTTTTCTGGATTTAATCATATTTGCTGAACTGTAGGACATTGTTAAGTAAAACATTTTATCTGCCAGAGAAAAAACACAAACCAATGAGGAAACAAAGCTGGAGAAGAGAGGCTTGCAGGGGACTGTCAATGCTGCACTGGCAAAGATTAAACAAAGAGAGGAGAAATTGAAATTTTCATTATATCCCTCCATTAGCTTTATCTACCATGACAGAAGCCATATGGTGTCTTTCATCATTTTTGCTTCTGCAAGTACAGTAGTTGAAGCTGCTTTGAAGCTGATGACCTTACATACCACTGTGGTAGCATTTTATGTTGCTGTGCAGAAGGAGAAGGTTTAGGAACAGACATTGATTTCTTTCTCTTTGGATTAGCTGAAGCAGAACTTTGCCCTTTGGGGAAGGGACAATGTTATCAACAGGGTTTATTTTCTTCTTAGTTAGGGTGACTTGTGATTTATAGTGGAGTGATGGGTTTTGCTTAGAAAAACAAGGATGTGTTCAAAGGAGTGACTCCTAAATGGTTTGTTCTTGGTTTTTATGAGCTTCTGAGGCTTTTCTTTTTTTTGACCTGGAGGAAGAAGAGGTGACTTAGAGCATGCAGGAGGGGCAGTGAATGTGATTTGAAGGAAACCATGGAGATGACACTTTTCCTTCATTTTTCTCAAAGGAGCCCTTGCTCCTTTTTGCACTGTGGTGTTTTGTAGAAATGTATCCAAACACTTACTGCTGTGAGCAATGTATCATGTTTTTGTTGGCACCAGGAGGCTGAGGCTGGGAAGCCAAATCGTGTGGCTGGGAAACACCAGTCACACTCACATGGTCCAGATATCTGGAGGAGATGATGTGGGTGTAGCTTTGTTTGTATATTTTTTGGAATGGTATGGGGGAAGGAGGGAATGAATAGAAAGAATGGCCAGAGGATCCTGGAAGAATCTGTGTGCTCATGGGAGGCAAAACTACTTTTTTTCATGTAGCATTAAATATAATTTCCCACTTAACTGCTGTTGCAGGACTTTTCAACATCTGTAACAAGGGAGTTGAAGTTTTGTCTGAAATTGTGTGAACCTCATGAATTTGTGCAGGATGTTAAAGTTTTACAGCTCTTGGGATTAGGTGGTTACATTGCAAGTGGTTCCAAATCTTGTGCTGGGAACTTGGTTTTAGAAGCAGCAGAAACCTGGCTGGTCTTGGTAACCTTATGAAAAAAAAATGATTTGGCCAATAATTGTTTTGGCCCTGCAAATGCATAGTGAAGAAGCTTGATAGAGTTTTTAGGAATTGGAGTTAGTTACCTGAGAGGAACACCTAAAATACTAAAAGGAATTGGAAGTCCAACTGCATCCAAGTTCATTCATGTGGCTGCCAGGGTGATGAGAGGAAGGAAGGGGTGCAGTCAGAAGAGACTTTAATTTTCACTGTCAGTGAGTTCATTTATGATATTCCAACTCCAGACAGATCCCAGAGGACAGGTTAGATTCAACAACACCACGTTAGGCAAGAGTTCAAACCCTGTTTGCTCTCTCTGGTGACAAAGCCCATTGCACATTTGTCCCCAAGCCCATCCCTGCTGTGGTCCTGGGCAGAATTCCCCACCTGGCACTTGTCTGATGTGACATTTTCCAGTGCATGTTGTGAATGGTGTGCCTGACTGAACAGTGTGTTAAAAGTCATTGACTCTGCATGATCATTTCACACTTTACTGCTGAGAGGAGTTATTTCATTTTTGTGTGTCTCTGAATTCCCTGCTGGCTTGCTCATGTGGAAAACTGGGCTGCAAGATGGAAAAGAAAGGATGTGCAGGGCAGCTTTGAACTGTGGAGCCAACATTCAGCAGACTTGCAGTAGCTGCTGGTGGTTGGGAAGGTTTCCCCTCTCCCCAAGCCCCAAACTTTCAGTTTTTCTGTGAGAGGATCAAAGTGCAGCTTCACCTTTTTTTCTCTCTTTGCTGGAAGGTTTTGTTTCTGGGGTTGTTGTAGGGGCTTAAATGAAGTAGTTGCTTAGCACAGACAAAATGTAAACATCCTGTGTAGGTGTCTTTCATGTGACCCTGATTCTGGTAGGTTTTGCAAATATTCCAGGTAGGTGAGCTCCAAAACTAGCAATGGAATGAGACACAGCAATTGCTGACCTCACTTCAAACACATTTTCCCCCTTCATATCAGCTGTTTTATACCTACAGACTTTTTCTGTTGAAATAGAAGAGTTGGATGGTGCAGCAGCAGTGTGTGTGTGTGGGAAGGTCAAACAAACATTAGGGTAGTCACCTTTTAAGATTTCTATTATAAAAACCAGGTTTTTGAAGTGGTTTAGAGTGTAGCCACTGAATAATGCTTTGGGCTAAAATGTGTTAAACAAGGCTTTAAATAAAAACCGCATTTCAAAGCGAGCTCTCCCCAGAAGAAAAATCAGTTGGACAATTTGAGAGCATTGTAAGCACAGTTTATTTTTATTCCTAGTGCTAATAAAAACAAAGTGAAAGGGTTAAAACCTGCCTTTGGGAAAGGTGTGGGTAACGTGTATCTGAGTGAGTCGGGACTGTGCCCTTATAATGGGACCCGGTTAAAGGGTCCTCGCTTGCTCTTTCTGCAGAGTTTTCTCCTTCCCCAGAGTATCTCCCTGGCCATTTTTCCAAGCCCTGTGAAAGCTCTTGGAGCAGGACCCGCCTCCCAGCGTGTGCCTGGCACCTTCTGCTGGTACCTGAGTGAGGCCCCCAGGCATTACCGCAGCACGATTGTTCTGGGTAATTGCTGCTTTTTAAAAGGCATTCAGCCCCAAGGAGGCTGCTGTTATTTGTGTATTCCTGAATCTCCCTGATCCTCCTTTATGCAATACCAGCTGCCTCTCAGAACACTTATCTGACAAGTGATCCTTGGATAGGAAGGGTTTTGCTATCTGTGATCACTTGTGGCTTGTGCTGTTTATTGTTTCGTGGTTTGGTTTCTTCCCCTTCTGTGTGTGTGTTCTCGAGGATGGTGTTGCTGGTCCTGACACGGGCAATAACACAACTGGAAATTGGGCAGCTTTATCAAAGATGTGTTTCAGTTCTCATCATCACACTGTTCCTGCCAAAATGGTCGTAGAGTGAAGGGCCTGAGTGATTTCAGTCATTCACTGCTGTTTACAGCTCTTCTGGAAAAGTTATTGACTCAGTAGAAAACCACTCAGGATAAACAGAAATAATCATTGATACCTAACTAGACTTTCCTGGCTTAACTGTGGGTTTTCTTTTGTTTCTGATAAGTATTTTGTTATAATCCCAGAAATGTTGGTTGGAAGGGACCTGTTAAATTCTTTTCCATCGTTTCTCTCCCTCAGTGCATTCCTACCCCTTTTAAAAGTACAGGGATCAGGCTCAAAAGCACCAAGGGAAGTTGCCAAGGTGGCCTGGGACATCCCAGGAAGACTGAGGATGAGGCTGTGTTTCCCTCTGTAGCACTCTGCCATTCCCAGCCTGGGTTTTAGGAAGATGATAATTTAGGAGTTGTTTGTAGTAGGATGGGAGGAATATTGTTTATAATGAACTAATGCTAGTAATTTTCAGCCTTAGTCTAAAACAGGGAGATTTTGAGGAACTTAGTCCTGCAGTGCAGCGATATTCATTCATTCAATTATTGTGCCATTTAATTAAAATTTTTGTCTTATTTTATTTTTTTATAACTAGGAAAATGTTTTTCCATTTGTTATAGTATTGTATAATGAATGCTGTTGTTTTGAAAAACAGAGAAAGTCCCTGTAGAGGCTGAATTTCAGAACTTGGGAGTTTCACCTAAATAGAATGAAATGTTTCACAAAAAAACACAATAGTCTTCCTGTTATACTTAACAGATGTCTCAAGGCAAGTCATTTTATAAACCAACCAATGTGAGATGGATAAGAAGATAAATAATTGTTGCATACAAAACAGCTTCTGTTTCTTTTCCCTGAAGGGCTTCAGGCCTCTTATATCGGCTTATGCTATATTTCAACATGGACAAAAATAAGTCTGTCTTCTCTTTGAAACCTTTTCAAACCAGCCATCTGCTTTGCCACTCATATTCAGATCTACACCAATATTTTTTCAGGGTAGGTGTAGCATATGAGTTGGGATTTTTAACTCTTTCTAGTTTTTCTACTTCTATTTTTTTCCTTATTTAAAGTTAAGAAGTACATTTAAAATAAATTTCTGGCAAAACTCAAAGCAAGACAAATAAAATAAGTGCTGCATAGTCCTAGCTATGTTCAAGTCTGTATGTTGAGTGATAGCAATTGTGTTTCTTGGTTTTATAGTTGTTGGGTTTTAAATGCCAAGTAACTTGTGGAGGGGACAAGGGACAAGAGAGGGAAATAATATCTTAATTATTTTTTGTGCCCTAGTGCCCCTTGCAAAGCAGACTTGTCAGCTGTATTGTGAGGATACAATGGCAAGAATTTGTATTCTATAAATATTGATGAAAAGACGTTTGAAGCTCATGAAAAATTTATTAGAAAATATGTTGAAAGATGTTTTGGCTGCTGGCTGGCCACTGGTAACCGTGCAGTGTCAAAGAGCAGCTTGTTTTGCTGGTAGGTGTTTATTGGAGGAGGGAAGATGCTGTTTTCATGTACTAAAGGGCAGCTATTGACAATGAAATTGATGTAGGCAGATCCAGATTACACTGTTACACTTTCCATTTTTTTTTTTACACTTTTTTGCACTCTTTTACTCTGTTTCCACTCTTGCAACAAAATGTCTTAAATGTTTTCACTCTTAAAGTGTGGACAGGTCAGTGTTGAGGAGGAGATGCTGAGGACCAGGACAGTGTTTCTCATCAATGGCTGTAGATCAATGTTCTCTGGGACAAATTTCCTCTGGCCTTTGAGGGGGCTGGAAGTCAGAATCTGATTGCTGGTGTCCTCCAATATCCTTGAGTGACAAAGCAGGACAAGATGGACAGAGCAGAGTCAGCGTGGTGTGAGCAGATCTGAGTGCTGAGAGGGTTGTGCCTGTGGCTTGGTTCCAGCCACAGCAGGAAAACAAGGGGGGTAAACACTTCCACCATGAGCAGAGCAGTGGGCTTTTAGGGTGAAAATTTCCCAAACATTGATGCAGAAATAGATTTTTTTAGATAGAAATGTTACTTCCTGTGAAGTACCAAAATACAGCCATTTTTGTAAGCAGTTCTCAATAAAGGTAGGCATCTGCAAGTGTTTAAAACATGCCTGCTTTTCCCCAGTATGAGTTTTAAATCTTGAGCTTCTTGTTTCACAGACCAAATGGTAGCCAGTTTAACCTATTAAAGATAACTGAGAAAGAAGCAAAAAAACAAACCCTGCAGGTTTCAAGCAGCAATAACTGCAAAACAGGGATCATCAGCTTATGGCTGGGTTTATTTTTAGAGAAATATTCATGATGTTCAGGAGCCTGAAGGCAATTTGGCATCTCCTCATGCACCTGAAGGTGGCATCTGGGCATCCTGCTGGCACAGCATGGCTCATGTGCTATTTCTTTCTTGTGTCGTCACTGGAGAGTTTAGAGAGCTGCTGTGGATGGAGGTTGTAGGAAGTGCTGACATTCCCATGCAGCTGCTGTCACTGCAGAGCCCTGGGCTGATTGTGTGCCAGCATTTGCACATGATACTTCTTCTCTGCCCTAATACTCAAATATTAAAACTTCTTGTCAGTGGGCAACTGTAGGCTGGAAATTTGGATGTCAGATCACCATTAAAATACTGAAGATTTAGACTAAAATCATGTTTTGCTAAGGACAGGTTGCTACAACCAAGAAGTGTGTGTTTGTCACAATATGAAATAGGAAAATATTATGCCTTTTGGAGAGGAAAAAAAACCCCAAAACATTTGGGGTGGGTAGCTTGCTTCCAAAAACCAAGGAGCTGAACTTGGAATGGTTTGTTTAGGTTATGGCAGTGCCCAGAGGTCCCAGCTGGCATGAGATAAAGACCTGAGGGAGAAGTGCAGCCTGAAGCTATAGCATGGAGATACAGCAGGTGGTGTGTAGGAGAAGGGAACCTTTATTCCCCTTTTTCTGGTTCTTGCCCAGTGGTCTGCCCAGGAACAGTAGCAAAGTTTGAAAATTCAGCCCAGGTGTTGATTCTAAAAGTTTTAAAGCACAAACTCAGCCATCTTAGATCTTCCCTCTGAACTGAGGATGCTGGGGTGGGGCTGGAAGAGTCCAGCTGATTCAGGAGCCAGACTGAATTGAAATGTCATTCCTCTTAATGCTGCTTATTATTCAGAAAATGGGAAAAATAAATACATCTTTTTTTAATTTTTATTTTTAAGGTTAGGAGGTTATTGAACTGTATCTCGCTGAGCCCTTCTTTGTTGCAGTTTGGGGAAATTGAGTATTTTTAAGAAGAGTAAGATGATGTGGTGGTTTGGTACTCCTGGATAAGAGAGTATTCCTGTTCCCATCTGTACCTTTTATTACTTCCCTGGTACCCTCCCTGGCTCTCAGCCCTTGTGTTGAGCCAGTTCAGGTTACTGGGGGATTTCAGTTGACACTGCAGAGTATCTGAGGGAATTCTGGAATCAGAGGAGGGGAAAGAGTGAGGCCTGTGCTTGGGGAGCAGGAATGCCTGCCTTGGCAGCCAGAGCTGGGCTTGTAGAACTGAGCTGCATCCACAGCTCTACCCTTTAGGACCTTCCTGTTTCTTCTCATCTCCATTTGCTCCTGGCATTGATTTCTTGATGTTTCCTTCACTGGTTCTCACCTGGTGTGCCAGCCTGAGCTGCTTTTGGTTTGGTTTGCCTAGAACCCTCCTAAGTGCCCTTTTCTGCCACGTTAGCTGTGGGGAGGATGGAAGAAGGGAAATGATGTTCTCCAAACTGAGATGTGTGTTACCCTGCTGAGTAAGAACACATTTCATGCTGCTTCCTTCTGTTCCCTCCAGCAGCCTCACTGGTACAAATGACTTGGCAGTGGTGCCTGTGCCCAGGCTTAGCTTGGTTCTGGTTGCCTAAAAACCTGAGAAGAGAGAACTGAAGCAAAAGCTCCCAAGTGCCACGTGCTGGTGTTTGCACAAGAACCTCCTTCCCTCTGGGCTGTGATGCAGCACGGTCACTGCATGGTTGTTTCTTGTGGAGGATTTATCAACGGCAGCACAAGTTTCTCTGCTGCTCTTGTAGGCACGTGACAGAGCTGTTGGAGGCTTGGAGTGCTCTGTGCTGGCTCTGTTCAGTAGCTCTAAGGCCATGGGCATGAGCCCAGCATCCACTCAGGATGGGCATCACCAAGAGACTTCCCAGTGATAGCGGCCTTCAGTTGGAATTCACTTGACCCACAAGTGAACCAGTGACCTAGAGGTGAAGGGCTCAGGCATTGTATCAAATTACAAATCATCCAAACCATCTACATCTTTCAAGCTGTTGATTATAGAAACTGTTCAATTTCTTGTGATACCATGTGTAGATAATTGGGAATGTTGTGCTAAACTATGGAGCTTGCTGGCCGACCCTGCTTGCTCATAATTACATGAGATATAGTCTGTCACCACTGAGAGACATCAAAAGAATGTCAGCTGACCTATTAATCTGCAAGCATCTGCAGATTCCTCATAATAAAGGTAATTGTCCATTGGTGCCTTTTAAGTTATCAGGCAATGTAAATTTTTTTTGTGTACCTGAGAATTCAGTCGCTGTAGTCCTTGTGCATTAGATATTCCCTAGGAAATGGGTTGACCTAATTTCCAGCCTTGTCTTCATATGCCTGTGTTTGGTCTAATTTGATTTTACAGGAATCACCATGTTCTTAGCTATAACTGCTACTTGAAAAGGTCAGTGTTTTATGAGTAGTATGATGATTATTCATGTGTATCATTACAGTGTCACAAAATGGGATGCAAGATTCAAATTTTAATCTCCTACAGATGTGTAAACCTACAGAAACTCTGCTGGCTTTTGTTGAAGTGCAGTGACTTAGCAGATTGTCTCTGTCTTTATATGGCATGTTTAAATAAGTTCTGTTACTGCAATGTTTATATTTGGCTAGAAGGGATAGGGAGCATAAGAATAGTGTTTCTTTGTCATAGTCATGCATGCTGACCTAATACTTTTGCTTTCTGTCTTTATAACATTTATGCAGTATTTAACTTGACCAACAATGTGGACTTGGAGAACACCAAAAAGAAAATGGAGCTGTATCAAAAGGATAACAAAGAAGTCATTCAGAAGAATAAGTTAAAACTGGTTAGTTAACTTCTCTCCCCTACAATTTTTATTCTTTTGTTAAAGAACTAAAGGATTTGTGGAGTACTTTCTTAAAACAAATCAAGGTGAAAGCACTGTGCTGGGTTCTTTGTATTTAAATATTGAGGTTGAAATGTAGTTATGCTTTATTTTGGGAAGGGCTGGAGGAGAGGGGCAGGCAGCAGAGGCTGTATGTAATACATCACCACGGCATGTGTGCTGGCAGTGTCGTTGGACAATGGCCAGGAGAGATGAAGTTCATTCCTGCACCAGGACAATCGTTCCTTTCTCATCTGAAGGAAAAAAGAAATCCAGACTCAGACATTATGAAGCTCCCAGGAGAGAGTTGTAAAATTGAGGCAAAACACAGGCCTGGTTTATGCAAAATTTGAAATGAAAGATGTTGAAACAAACATTAAAACTTTTGTTCAAGAGCTGATAACAGTAACATCAGGGATATTGTATATATAATCTGTATGCAAAACACAGGGTTCTTTGAAGATTCATTCATTGAATTATGGCTCACATATCATTTTGTTCTTTAAAAATAAACTTGCATGCATTTATTCCTGTAAGAAAAGTTTAATCTGTTAAATATTTTTTCAGCATAAAAATACACATTGTTATCAGTTCTTGAAGGAAAATGTCTGCCCAGAGCGTGACATAACAAAGGTTTATGTTTGTAATCCAGTTGCACTAAGGACTTGCTTTCAAATCAGTAGGGGTGAAATCCTCACTCCCCTGAAGTCTGTGGCAAAACTCTGGGTGATTTCTTTAGCTCTAGGATTTCACAGGAGGAGATTGGAATCTGAAAAATGTTTGTTTGAACCTCTTCCTTTTAAAGGCAAGGAAATTTCCCTAGGGGTCCATCTCTGATCTGTTATCCTGTCTCTGACACTGTGCAATATCCTCTGCTTCAGAGCTTGAAGAGACCTGCCAAAGCTTTGGCTGTGTGTCTTATTTTACAATGGAGCTGCAGCCTCTGGGGTCACAGGGAGAGCAGCTCTGCCTCAGCCCACCTTCCCTTCAAGGAAGTGGCTCTGGCAGCCTGGCCAGGGCCTGGCTGATGCTGGCAGGCAGCTCTGAAATGCCCTGTACCCTCTCAAGCCCCCAGCACTTCTGTTTGCTGTGCTCCACAGTCCTGCTGGCTGCTGGAGGCTGGACAAGCCTGTGTGAATCCAGACTCACTGAAGAGCTGGAAACATTTCTCTTTTTTTTTTTTTTTCTTTTTTAACATTTGAAACAGTCATAATTTCTTTTTCAACAATTGAAACATAATAATAGATTTTACACAGTGGTTATTACAAAAACTGCATGATCTTGCCTATAAATTTCCCCCTCTCCTAAAAGCTGAAGGGTTGCTTTTCCTCTCCAGCTCCTCTTAGCAAGTTTTTAAATGTCTTTACTCCATGTGTGGTAAAAGGTCTCCTACTTTCTTGCTTAAACTTCTTATGGCCAGTCATTGTCCCTACATTCTTGACTTAATTTTTTCTGTCCACTGTAATAGGTTGCTTTTGAGGGATATAGATGTTTTCTGTCCCTCTTGTTGTTTTTGTTACCCTTTGCCTGCTCCAGTGTGATTTGTATTTGGCAGGCAGAAGGGGCCAGAATTAAATGCAGAGATCTTAATAAAGGAACTCTGTTTTCCCATCTCTGCTGGAAATACATTGATCCTGAGACTGTTCTTCTCTTGTAGTTTAGAAAACAAAAGTGAAGATTTTGGTGTTCTTGTAGTTATAAATTATTATTTTTTTAATATATAGATATTTATGTACACTTTTTATTTGTAAAACCTTGTACCCTGAGTGGACTACAGCTTTTCCAGTGTTTCTTCCTTAAATATTTGCACTTCTCCAGTGATAGGGTAACTTGTTGCTTCCTACTTTATCATTAGATGTTTAATTTCACTTGCTGCTTTGTGCACTCTTGAAATAGTTGTGTCTGGATTCTGTGATGTGAATGTGCATGTTTTCTTGATTATCCTTTCCTGAATGTGGCAAAACATGATTTTACTTTCTATTTACTTCTTCACTTATAGGCTTGAGTTTACTCCCAGCTTCACTGTCATCATCTTTCCCTTCACAAATTAGGACTGTATTTAGATTATCTTTAGTCTGGACACAACCCTTGCTGCCTATTGAACTCATCTCTTCTCTTTTACTGTTTAAAGAATTTGATCTGACACGTGATAATTCTTCCATTTGCCTGTAGTCTGCTCTGGTTTAGGTTTGTTTATCAGTGTACTTATTTCAGACCATAATTTTTCTGGGCTGTTTCTTCAGACTAGGTCTGTCAGCACTTCCCTACAAGTTTTCTTCTGTTTCAGTGCAAATTCCAGGCAGTCTTTGGAGATAAATATGGAAGAGCCTTGGAATGTCTCAGAGAGCCTGAGCTCTTCTGTCCTGTTGACCAACCCAACTAAATCTCTCAATTCTCAGACATAACCTCAGTTAGAAGTTTGGGGATTTTCTTGTTGGTTTTTTTCCTTTCATTAAATGCAAAGAGAGCCCAGTTCCAGGTGGTTGCTGGTTGGTGACCAGCTTTTCACCAGTGTCACTGCATCAGTTACAAAATGGAAGCAGCTTCTGTTTGCTCAGTGGCAGGTGGTGACATCTCCCAGGAGTAACTGGGGTTCACTGGGACCCACTGGCTTAATCTGTCTGGTAAAGGAATTTTTTTTTTTTTTGCAGATTCTGGCTTCTATTAGGTAGCTGTGCTTTATGATACAACTTTATGTTTAAAACAAACTTTACTATGGCCTTGGCCTCGATAATGATCACAGATCTAGAAGAACTGAGTTGGAAGCAACCCACAAGGATTATTGAGTCCAGCTCCTGGCCCTGCACAGCCCCATCCCCAGGAGTCCCACCCTGTGCCAGGGAGCATTGTCCAAACCCTCCTTGAGCTCTGTCAGCCTTGGTGCTGTGACCACTGCCCTGGGGAGCCTGTTCAGTGCCCAAACACCCTCGGGGTGAAGAACCTTTTCCTGATATCCATCTAAAGCTCCCCTGACACAACTTCAGGCCATTCCCTTGAGTCCTGTCACTGGGTACCATAGAGAAGAGATCAGTGTCTTCCCTTGTGATGTTCTGCTGAAACTCCTTTCATCAGTAAATCATCCATTTAAGTTTATAAAATTTTAATTATCTTGCCATTTTTACTGCATCTCCCTTTGCTTTAGTGTGTTAAATGGAGAGGATTTGGAAAATGTTTCCTGTATTTTTTTCCTTGTACCTTCTAGCAACCAAACTGACATTCTTTTGATCCATCTTCTTTTTAAAATTGTTTAATCCTCTTATTTTCCTCTGTCTCTAAGCCCTCTTCTGTTTTTTTTATTCTTTCACTGTGATTTTCAAATACAGATTACCTAATAGTTTGCACATTAAAAAGATCCTTGCCAAGAAATAGATCTGTAACAAGAACTTGTCATTTTGTACTAGTAATCTTTCTTTTCATCTCATGTCACATGACTGCAATCCAGGTTATAGGAAAAAATCCTTATTTTGTAAAAATGTGACATTTTCACAGTTAATGCTTAAAGATATAGGCTTCCCTGTTAATATTCACATATTTGTAATTTCTCATTTCTCTTCTACACCACTGCTAAGCACAGTGTGCTTTGCCAAGATGCAGCTGATGAGTGGGATGATCAGGAACAGTATTGTGGGATGATGTTTTTGTTCATCCTACTTACATCATTGAGTTCTAGGATGAGTGGGAGCTGAGGAGGGCTCACTTTAGAGTGAAAATGGAGGGAAAACCCCTTCTATAACATTTAAGGAGTCAAATCTGACTCCAGCCAGCAGCAAGTTAAAAATCTTAACTTTACACTGGCAATGAGGAGGTAGAATAATCATCCAGAATCACCTTAAAATTCTGCTTTAAAAGGCAGAATTTGGCTGCTTTCCCCTTGCCTGGCCTGGCTGGGGTCCCTGGGGGCATTGGGGTTGCTGGGAGCTGATTTCTGCTTTCCCTCTCAGACGCGGGAGCAGGAGGAGCTGGAGGAGGCTCTGGAGGTGGAGCGGCAGGAGAGCGAACAGAGGCGCCTGTTCATGCAGAAGGAGGAGCAGCTCCAGCAGATGATAAAAAGGAAGAATAAACAGGCACTCCTGGATGATCTGGTGAGTGACAAAAGCAGAGGTTTCAAAGCTCAGTAGCATTGACATGCATCTCTATCACTGTGTGGAATGAATGGATCTGTCCCCGTTTCCCTGGTTTGTGTTTCCATTCTCTCACCTGTTATTTATTTCAGTGGTGCAAACCACTCTGGTTTTGGTAAGCTAGGGGCTGGATGAAGGCTGCTCTGGGATTTGTAGCTCAGCTCTACCTCTGTTGGCTTGTTAAGCAGTTCTGAGTAGTGGCTGAGGTGTGTGGAAGCAAAAAGGTCATCAGGAGGTGCTTCTTGGCTCAGCCACCTGTGCAGTGGAGATGGTGGAGAGCAGGGGACAGTAACCTCAGGAGTTATCCAGTCATTGCTCAGCCCTTTCTCAGCCAGAGCACATAAATGATTGGTGGTCCCTTTGTATGCAACAACTACAATGAAAAGTTTTCTGCCACAAGTGTGTCATGTTCTCTTACTGCCACTTCTGTACAAGTTGCTCCTGTTGAAGTGAATGAAGTTTATATGGACATGCAGAGGAAAACTCATACTTGCTTTTGGAAATTGTGGTCATCTTGATTAATTTACTGATTCTGCATCTCAAATGCAATCATGTGTGGGCATAGAGAAACTCCCTCAGTGTGTTACTTAAGGTTCACATCTCAATTTTTTCAATACAAGTGTGTGTACAGTCATGCATACATTCACAGGTTTAACACCCATGAGGACAGTCTGTACACATGGCCTGTGTGTAACCTTGAGGGAAATCAGAAAAAAGAAGTATGTATGCATACATACACGTGTTCAGCTGTGTCAGTGTGGTTTAAAGCTGCTTGGCATATCCAGATGATATTTTCTCTCTTGTATCAGTGCATCTCACACTAACACAGTGGTAATTCCTGCTTTGTAGTCTCAGTTCTTATTCATGGTACAGATGCTTTTCCTCTTTTCCTGGAAAAGTAGAGTTTCTCTTTGAGCCAGGGCAGAAGGCACTGACATGGAGTGAGGATCTAAGTGAAATTTAGGAGTTTCAGGGCCTCCTGAAGAGATAGATGCCTTGCTTCAAGCCAGGATTCCTGGCAACCTGTTACTGGTTTTCCTTTTGTAGGCAAAAGCAGAGATGAGCAGAAAGCTTCTTAAAAAAAAAAAAAAAAAAGTCAAGCCTGTATCTTTACATCCAGCAATCTATTTTCACTTTAAAGGTAAATGCTTTTACAGTCCACACAATTAGGAATAGTGGATAAATTAATAAAAACTCCACTATAAATTTGAATTTAATTTCTCAGAATTTGGATTTGGAGTTTCTGACTTCTTAAAAACCTGTTCTAAAACACAGTTCTAACTGACTAGAGACCAGTGGCTGATGTGTGGTTGTTTAATTTTTTTTTTTTAACACAGCATTTGGTTTTACTGGAAACCTTCACCAGGTGGCTTGCAAAAAGAATAGCTATAAATAACCCTTAAAACATGACTAAAATAAGTACTTTTTACTGTGATTGGATATGTATTGCTATTAAAACATATCTTAATATTCTAAAAACAATAGAAAGGTGATTTTTAAGGGCTGAGGGAGGAAACTAAACAGTTTCAAGTTTTGTCTCTGTTTCTGAAGGGGCAGTGTCAACTTAAATTTGAGCCAAAACTTGTTTTGTAATATTACTAAGGTTTATAAAACCAGCACTGAAGTGTTTGTGTGATGACTTACAAAGTCTCTGGAAAGCCAGTAGTTGTTAAAGAAATAAACATTTCCTATGGTCTCTGAAATCCCTCTAATGCTGTGCTGCAAATCTGAAAATGAAACTGATAATGAATAAAACTCAATGGAGAAATGCAGCAAAAGCCAAGCATAAGCAGCAGCAGGGTAAAGAATGAACTTAAAAAGTAATCTTATATCTATGGTTGCTGGTCCTGTGCTAAACCAAGAAGGATTAATTTTTGGCTCAGAGATACCACCACTGGCTCTGCAGGACTGTGAGTGCAGAGGAAGGTGACAATCTGACATTTTATAAACCTTATACCCAAATCTTCTCCTTTGGACAGATCACTTGTTGTGGGCAGCCTACAGCCCAGACCTACTGGATCTTGGTAATTTTTTTTTCCAAGTTTGGCCCTGCCACTGGGCAGCAAGAAAAAATTAAGGACACGTTTTTTGTGTTGTGCAAGTAAAGATGGTCAGCTACTTTCTTGTCAAGAAATGAATTTACCTTTGGTGCTGAAATCTTATGAAGCTGCAGATCTCATGGAATCCTAGCAATGTTTGGGTTGGGAGGGTTCTTGGAGAGCATCCAATTCCAACCCCCTGCCATGGGGAGGGAAAACTTCCACTAGAGCAGATTGCTCAGAGCCCCATCCAACATTCACAGTGTTGGGGCATCCACAGCTCCTCTGGGCAGCCTGTGCAGGACCTCACCACCCTCCATAAAGAATTTCTTCCAATGTCTAATCTAACCCTGCCCTCTGTCAGTTTGAAGCCATTCCCCTTGTCAGGCTGTTGTAAAGAGTCTCTCTCCATCTCTTTTGTCAGCTCCCTTCAGGTACTGGAAAGCCACAATGAGGTCACCCCAAAGTGTTCCTTTTTCAGGCTGAGCAATGCCAAAGCCCTCATCCTTTCCTCATGGGAGAGATGCTCCTTCCCTCCCATCATCTTGGTGGTCCAGGTCATCAGATGTGTTACTTGTGGTGCTTTCATATGGAGCAAAGGTCTCAATGGTGTGCAGAAGTGCTTGAGAATACTGTACCATCTTCAAAGAGCTGATAATGTAGTTACTGCAGAGGTACAGAAAAATGTTTGGTATTCTAAATGTTGTGCAGTGGGCCCTGGTTTGTGGCCAGCCTGGGGAGTGCAGGGGCTCCTGCAGAAAGGGCCAAGGCTCCATGAACCCATCCTTGGCTGAAAACAGGGAGGGAAAGGCCAGTGTGAAGTACTGGAGAGATCAGCAAGGCATCAGGGGGACTCAGGCTCTGCAGGGCTCTGGAAAAGCAGTTGGGTCCTTTTTGCTTCCCTAATTAGTGTTAATTAATTCGTGTTAATTAACACTAATTAATTAATTAACACTAGTTAATTAACTAGTGCTTCCCTAATTAATTCCCTAATTTCTGTGATACCTGCATTGTAGACCACCTCTTTTACAGTAGAACCTCTCACTTTAAAAGCACAATACCCTGTTGTAATTTCAACTTGCAGTCTCAAATGCACTTTGTGCATCACTGGTGAGAGTTGTATGAGTGTTTTATTTTGGGTTGTTGTTTGTTTGGGAATTTTTTTTTAACCTTGGATAATCCAGGCTGAGTAAAAAATTAAAGAATTAAAGCCCTTTCTTTATGTGCTGTACAAACTCTCTCACGTGTATACAGAGAATTCTAAGATGATCTCTTGTGTTTTATGGGACTTGCACTTTCCTCTTCAACAGCCCCTAATTCCCAGGCATGAGCACAATGGGAGAGGAGCAGGTTTTCCCTGGACTCTGGCATAGCTTGGAGCCAGGCAAAGGCATTAAAGAGGTCAAATCCACACTTTCACCAGAACCTCAAGGGTTTTGAGACAAATCTTCCAGAAACTGTTGTGTAGAACCAGCTTTGTTCATAGTGTGGACAGTTTGTTTTCCCATGGAGAAAATTGCTGGTATGGATAAACACAGGGCTGGAACTTCCACGTGTGTTAATAGTTAACAGAAGGGCTCTGGGCATATTCAAAAGGACAAACAATCAGGATGTGGTGCCTTGCTGGCACACTCTGGGTTTCCCACAGTTGTGTAATCTGGTTACTGGTCATTGTGTGAACTCCTGAGAAGTTGGTTAAAAATTGGCTGCCTTGAATCATTTTATTAGAAATGCAGTGAGTGTTTAAGGAATATGAACGACAAAATGAACAGGAGAGTGCTTTCCACTCTGCCCTTCTCCCCCAACATGTTAAATCTGGTCATTGAAAGAGTTCAGCATCTTTAACCTCTGCTGACAGCTGACAGCACATGCTACTGCATGCAGGTTAGATATGTACAACAACTGAAAGAAGCAGACTCTAACCTAGTGCATTTGTGGTCCAGATTTTCTCCCAGTTGTGCAGAAATTAGATGTCTCTACAATTTAGGTTTTTAGCATCTTCCCTCCCTCCTCCCAGCTGATCACAGAAATCCAAGTAGGAAGCTGTGCCTTAGATGTTGTATTTGTGATTCTGGGCCAGATCTTGTCTTGTGAGATTTTCTGCTTTTCCTTGCATTCTAGTGGTAAGGCAAAGGGAGTATAGTAAAATATAGAGGGGGAAAAAGACTGGAGAGTGATGTGAAAAGTCAGTGTACAACGTGACTGCTGTTCATGATCACTTCAGAGGATTTCTCTGGGTACCATGAAAACAGCAAGGCATCTTGTGGCATTAAAAACATCCAACTTCTTACCTTGAACTGAATAATTTAAAAATCACAGTCCTGTTCATAAAATCTGCTTGGTTTTGTGAGTACCAAATGTAGTTCATAGTTCAATATTTGCTTGGCTCTTTGAAGCAGAAGTAAATGTGGAGTGTGAAAGCTTTAGGAATAAAATTCTGTGCTAGAGCAGTCCAGGAGGAGTCTGTCTGAACTTCTTCCCTGCTCTCAACTTCATGGTAGTTCTAGCCAGGAATTCTCAAGGATTTCTGTGTGCATGTAGATAGTCACATTAGTCTCTTAGAAAATTACTTAGCCAATAATTTCCTGACTCTCTCAAAAATGCACTTACATATATGTATGCTAATAATCATTCTGTCCTGACAGTTTAGGCAATTCATTTGCTTAACTATTCATTTTACTATTTTTTATGTGTATATATGTATATATATTTAAAAATTGGCTGGCTTCCCTAAAAATAAGTTGCTGAAGGAGAAAATAAATATGCTGTTGGTTGCACTTACAATAGTGCCATTGTGCAGAGCAGAGCAAGGATCATTTCCAAACGGCCTCAGGTGAAATCTAATGGGAAACAATTTCAAACTGGTCTGAGTTCATTGGGAGAAAGAATGTGTCTTAGATAAACATCTGATCCAAGTTACACTACTCAGTATTATTCCCTCTCTGATTAAGTTCTAATTTTTTTTTTATTTTAATAAATATTGTTGCATTGGCCAGTTGGAATAAGGAGCCTGTTATATTGTCTTTAATGTGGATTCTAGTGGATTCTATAAAAATGGTTGTTTGCAGGTTATTCTGATTTATGGGGTTGCTGCAGCTTTTTCTTATTACTGAAAATGATCCTTTTCTGTAAACTGTTGCTGAGGGAGAGGATACTTGGCATTCTGCTGTTCTCCTATGATGGCCTTGCAGTCACAGCTTGCAGTTTGGGAGAGTTTGCAGTGTTAATTAATATTTGTTTTGGTCTAGGACTCAAATTTATTCCTCATATGTTTACAGGAGAGCTCTGATCTTCCTGCCTCTCTGCTCTTAGCTCAGCATAAGGACAGATCTACTCAGCTAGAAATGCAGCTGGAAAAACCCAAACCTGTCAAACCAGTCACGTTTTCCACTGGCATCAAAATGGTAAGATTTACTTGTTTGGTTTTTTTAAATGCATTTCAGAAGATCAAGGAGTTCCTTGTATGAAATTCAGAGGTCACTTAAACCTGAGTTGCATGTTACATGAAATAGACTGTTTGCTTCCAGTTAAATCAGTAAGTAATAATAAGTAATTAGGAATTAATTGAAGAATTTCATCATTCTGCTAGTTGGAATATTGTGATCACCCACCCATCACAAATATATGGAACATTTTCATTGTGTAGTTGTCAAAAAACAAAGTGTACCTCTCTCCCTGTGAAGTTGTGGTGTCCTTGAATTATTTTTCTTGTTTGTTCACCAACTCTGGAAGTTGAAATTTTTGAAGTTCAAGAATCATCTGTACTTTCTTCAGATTTATTTTGAGCACTGGAGCAATCTGTGAGTATGAGACTGACAGTCTAGAAAATGATGCCAAGGTTAAGGACTCTATTTTCATTGTTATTTGGCTTTGGGAAACAACAAGTATTTTTGCAAATGTGTCACCTTAGGGTGGCAGCTGAAGATCTCTCAGCATTCCTGTTCTGTATCATGGCACAAGCACACAACAGCCTGTGTACATAAATGTAAAGCTGGGGGTGGGAGCACCAGTGACTGATCTTTTCTGCACCTTGCTGGTTTTCTGCTTTGTATTGTTTTAAATCTCTTTTTATACTTTTTTAAAATCCACTTTTTTTAGACTTTGTATTTTAGAATTGGTAATGGTAAACTGAATGTCTTGAAAATAGCCAACACTCTCTACTCTCCTCAACAAACCAAGAAGTCAGCAAAGCAAAAATCTGTGCATCAAGCTAGTTTCCTATCAGTAATCAATTTATTTTTGCCATGAATATTTGTGCTGTGTTCATTATCTGTTAAATTGTTAAGAGTGTGGAACCATTTGCAGCTTATTTTTCTAAAAGCAGTGTCAGTTTTTGTAAGGCTGTGTGGATTGTTTTCTTGTTTTCCTGTGGTGTAAATTGATCTTCTTCCTATTTCTTTTAAAACCTAACAGTCTGGGGAAGATAGAAAATCTCTCACAAAGCAAATCAGTCTGTGTAGAAAAGCCAGTGGACAGAAAACGCCTGTTCTGTTTAAAAAATGCTCTGTCTGAATGGCTGCACTTTTTCTTGCTGTTAAAAAATACTGTCAGAATTTCTTAAAGCTGTGCCTTTTCTGTGGGCAAAGGAAGATGATCAGCTGATGTATGTCATGAGGACAGTGGAAGTATTTTCTAATTTGTTTAAAAATTAATATTAAATGCAGTACGTGGTAGTGGACATTTGAGATCTGCAGCCCTAAGTAAATTTCATCCAGGAATGATGAAAGACTTGGATGAAGAGATTTCCAGCAGCAGGACATTTAAATCCTAATGTTTGGAATAATAGGGGATATGCCAGATAACTAATTGCTAATTCATCAGTGTTCAGAAAACGTGAATAGATAAATACCTTAATTTTTTCAATCTCAGGAAACAAAAATTTCCTCACCCTGACTTAGTCCTAAATTGAAAAAGAACAGTTTATTGTACTTATTTCTATTCATGTTTTTTAACAGTAAAGATAAGGATAGAAGCATTTGAAGTTGGTTACTATTATTTATGGGAAATGGATTGCATCAGAATTTTACACCAACAAAATTACAGGTTTTGCTTAGAAAGATGAATGTATCCTTATTTTCTTTACAGGTGGTTGATTTATTTATTACATGACTTTAAAAAAAATAGAAATTGTATTACACAGTAATAACAATATTGATACTCTGCATAATAAATGAATGAAGTATCTAACTTTATAATTTTTGGAGAAGTTGGTTCCACAGCCTGGGAATGTTTCTGTGGGTGTCCTGCTAGGAGGCAGCTCAGTGCTTGGAAGCAGATGTTGAATTTCTGTGGATATGTGCAAAGGGTTGCTTTGACAAACTGGCCTCATTTGAATGAAATGTGTTTTAATAAGGCTAAATGCAAAATGAGAAATTGAAGAGTAAATAAATCCCCAGCCTGGTCAGGCTCTGGGAAGAGGATTTGGAAGTTTAGCTAAGCAAGTAAACCAGTTTGACCCTCAGCCACAGTGTCTGTGGGGGGCCTTGGGTATGTGAACAGTCCAGCAATAAATAGGAAAGGACCTTTCCTCCTGAATGCACTATTGGGAAGAGTTGTGAACTGCAGAGTTCTGCTGCATTTTGAGTGCAAAAATCAGAAAGAACATGAAGAGGAGCCACAAAAGTCCATTCAAAGGTAGAAAGATCTGCTCTGTGTGCTGCATTCTGCCTCTGGTTCAGGAGGAGATGGTCCAGGTATGACTCAATTTACACCAAGTACCTCCTTAGCACAGAACATGCCAGCTCTGAGCAGTGCAGCATTAAATGTAGCAAGAACCAGTAACCTTAGTGAAACCAACACCATCTAAATAGGAACTGAAGGAAGGAATAAGACCTGAAGTTCACACAATGTTCTGCTGGTTAATTGGCCTCACTGTTAAAATTGGCTCTGGAATGCAACGAAATCTCAAATTTTTGATGTTTTCAGATTAGGATTGGGGTGTGCCTTGGAAAGTTGCTGTAGTTATCAAATGCAAGTTTGCTGGCCTTGGAGCAGGGTTAGTTTTGTGAAATGCAGTTCAGCTCATTGCACATGATCCATGAGGGTGGGTTCTGGTGTCAGTGTCAGGTGAATTCCCCCTCAGGACATGCTTGTTTGCCAGGCTGAGTGTTTTCCCAAGAACCTGAGGTGCTCAGTGCACTCCTTTGGCGTAGGTGGCCACGTGAAGTGGGTGGAACTTTTCTTGTGCTCTTTGTGGCTGCTTTGGCTTTGTTCCCCTCTAAACCACGGGGTTCACACCACTCCTGCTGGTGGGGGAGCTGGAGGAGAGTACTGAGAATTTCTATAGAAATACAATTCTAATTAATGCTCTGGCACAAGAGTTCTGAAAATTCAGGACATTTGTGTGAAAAGTCTGGATTGTGCCCACTGGCAGAGGCTTAGCAGTGCACATTTAATGAATCACTATATATGTCCTTCCCCTGGGCTTTTATTTTTTCCTAATAGTTTGGCCACTGACCTTTTCTGATGAGTGTTTGCCTCTAATTTTGTTTCAAAAGAAGGGAAGCCAGATAGAGCTAGCTGAGCTGCTGGCTGATCCAGAGCTGGTGTTTACACAAAGACTATGAAAACATGCCACTTGTGGCAATCCACTGGGCTTTTTCTCAGCTTGAACAGGGGTGTTTTTCCTTGGTCAGAGATGTTCTTCTGCCTGACTGCTAATCAGACATGTTTCTTGGTGTCTGAGTTAGGAGCATGTCCATTCTAGTCTCCTGAGCAATGCTCAAGGAAGTTGGCTCATTTAAGGTGTCATATTAGTGCTGTGAGTTCCTCTGCTTGCAGGGGGAGGAGGGAATGTCTTTCTCTTGTAAGCTAAGCAAGAGCATCCCCTATAGCATGAGACAGACAAATAGCTCGTGGGGACAGGGTCTCCTTCACTTTTCCTTTTGTGAAATTCCTTTTTTTTTTCCCCTCCTTTCAAATGGAAGCAGCTTTTCCTCTGTAGTCTGCTCTTTAACTTTTTCAGTAAATTCTATCCTCTGTGCACGAAACTTACATTCCAAATCAATCAGTTTGATTTACCCCTTTGAGTAGGAGGAGACAGTGCTGCCAGGCTTTTTTTCTTATCATGTTCATCATATTAAGAAATATACTTTCAGCACATCTAAATATTTTAAAACAATCTTATTAAAGCCAATCTCCAATCAGGGTAAAGCTACAAAAGAAACTGTAGCAATCTTAATTGCTGCAATAGTGCTAAAAATGAGATTTCCTGTCAATTGTGGTACTTCAGACTTTAGCAGCTGTCAAAAAGAGCACAGTTTGTGTGAAATGAATGATGTTTCCAGCATTTCTAGGGCTTGTCAGGAGGTGCAAAACAAAGTCTAGCAAGAGAACCATTCTTCTGTTTCTTGGTGAATGTAATGACCATTTCTGGTTGTCAGGTAGCTTTAACATGGAGCTCATTTGAAGGTGTAAGAGAGATGCTCATATGTATTGCAGACAAATGGCAGTTTGCAAATGCAGCAGGAATTAATTGTGTTACATGAATTTAGTTTCCTTCTTATGTCTCTAGTGTTTACAGAACTGTAGAAGGCTTTTCTAGGTCTGTGCTTTACCTCACCATTGTGGTTAAAAATGCATAGAAGTGTGGATATATTTAAGTCCTCCTTAATTTGTTGAACTGAGAGCACAGAACCTTTGGGTCCATGGCCCAGCTGTTTCCATGTTTGTAGAAAATCTGAGTGCCTTAGAAGGACTCAGCTCATGCCATCTCCAGCACATTTCAGGCTGTGTGTCTGTCCCTTTTCTGTTCCTTTCACTTCTCTAATGTTTCTTCTTTTTTAAGGAAAGAAACATTACAAAACTGGAAGGACTGTCCTGGACTTCCCCCAGCTTCCCAGGACACTTAGCCTGTAGTGATGGTATTCTTGGAGTAATCTCATGCCGTTAAAAACTCAATTACCTCTAATTGGATTGCCCAAAAATGCAGGAAAACAGCATAGGTGTCCCTTGGTTTGCTCCTGCTTGGGAAAGTTTGCCTTCTTGCATTTTATACCCAAATACCTCAGAATTAATGTAATGCATCATTGACCTTCCAATTCTTATAATCATTTTTATTTTATTACTTAATAGCAGTGGGAATATTTATTAATAGAACTATTAGTGCAGAGTGCTCTACGTGCTTTACCATTACCAAGATGGTCCCTAGGCCAGCGAATCTGCAGTTGAAATAGATGTGTCAGGGAGGGAGGGGAGGGGAAGCAGATGCCCGGAGGGGATGTTCTCACCCAGGATTAGCCAGCAGAGCAGTGGAGGAAGGAGGAATAGGATCCAGCCCTGCTGAATTCCTGAGCCGTGGCTCTTCCGCTGAGCCAGGCTCCATCTCCTGTCAACAGCACCCCTGAATGGCAGTGAATTAAGAGTGAAATATCTGCTCCAGCTACTGCTTCCCTGTCCAAATCAC